ACATATCGAATCAATGCGGTAGTCATAAATATTATTGTGAGTGCACAATGAGCGTATGTCAGAAGGAAAGAATTCTCATTCTTAAAAAGAAAAAGAAATATATTTATAAATGTGTTTTGTTTTTAATCTATCTACCAAATGTTATGTTTTAAAGACTGGTTCACAGTTTCACATAAGAAACATGCAGCATAATATGCAAAGTGTAAATTATACCTCAAGAATGCTAAATCAAGAATTGATATAGGTTGGTGAAGCTTGTTCAGTGTATGTTTAATTTTCTGTCATCGTGTCACCAAGATAGTCCCTTGTACAAATGAATGATATTGCCTTTTGTCTTTTCTCTGTGTCTCGAAAGAAATTCGCCTTTCTTACCTGTGCTACAAGCTTTCCGTATCTCTTTTAAAGACATTTCCAAATATGGAATATATTCTGATTTCAGTCTGTCAGTGTATGCAGAAATAATTTTATTTTAGGAGATTGGACTGACATTAAATTTGTTGTTGAATGTACGAGGGTCGCTCATTAAGTAATGCCCCACATTCTTTTTCTCAGAATATATTTATTCAAGATGGCTGAAATTTAGTGACAATATAAATCAATGTTTCCCTTACACATACTATTTTTCCACATAGTCCCCATCAACTTGTACGGCTTTACGCCATCGTGGAACAAGTGCGTGCATGCCTTGCCGGTACCAGCTCTTGTCCTGTGCACGTAGCCATGTCCTCACTGCTTGAATCACGCTCTCGTCATCTTCAAATCTTGTTCCGCGGATAGCATCTTTAAGTGGCCCAAAGAGATGGAAGTCGGAGGGTGCCAGATCTGGACTGTAGGGTGGATGGGGTAGCACCGTCCAACCCAATTTGGTGATTTCTTCCCGGGTTCTCGGACTTGTGTGAGGGCGTGCATTGTCGTGCAGGAGCAAAATTTCTGCTGGATGCTTGTGAGGCCAAACTCGTCGAAAACGCTTCTTGAGGGTTTTCAGGGTCCTGATGTACGCGTCTGAATTGATGGGCGCACCTCTTGGCATCACATCCACAAGAATGACCCCATCACTGTCCCAAAAGACAGTCATCATGACTTTTCCGGCGGAGGGAGTTGTCTTGAATTTCTTCTTTCTCGGTGATAGAGGATGATGCCACTCCATTGACTGCCTTTTTGTCTCTGGCTCAAAGTGGTGTATCCAGGTTTCGTCACCTGTAATGATCCGGGACAGAAAGACCTCTCCCTCAGCATCAAAACGCTCCAACAATTCAGAAGAAATCGTTTTCCTTTGAATCCTGTGGTCTGCTGTGAGACTTCGTGGAACCCATCTTGCGCACACCTTCGAATATGCAAGAGCCCGGATAATTGCAATCACACTTCCATTGCTGACTGAAAGCTGTTGGGCCAATTGTCGAGTTGTGATGTTCTTTTTCAGCAAAAAAGAATTCAATTACAGCTCGTTGCTTGTAACGAGAGTCGTTCACAGACGCCATTTTAACAGTTCACTACAGCTCCGCCATTGGTTGGAATCATTTGAAACTCCGTACACGAACGCGAGAAACATCAAATCTCAAGCATGTAAAAGTACACTTTTCTATCTTCATTATTGGCTGAGAAAAAAAATGTGGGGCATTATTTAATGAGCGACCCTCGTACATACTTGTATTATTAAGCTTTGGTTGTATTGGACTACCCTTTTTTGAACGGATCTCTTTCTAGTCCAAGTAAAGATTCTGTATTTAATCATCAGACAGCCTTTAAAATGTTGAGAAATCTTAGTTTACACACTCATAAAAGTTTAATGAAGCCCTACAGATCTTAGAATGATGAGAAGTTAGAAGCTTTTGAGCTGTCATGTTTGTTTATACGTTTTGAGCATAAGTGGACCAGTCTTTCGCACAAGAGCCTGTAAGCTTGAATTATTTGGCAGGTCATTTGATTGCATTAGTTTCACCATTGACGGACTTCAAATTGTCAGTTATTTCACTTGCTTTGCTACAGGGAAAATACACGTCATATCATTTAAGGTGCCAGAGTCCTTGTAGCGACTTCTCCAACATAAATGTTTAACTCTTTAAAACCAAATGGTAACTGCATCTACTATCTGCTTTACCATTCGAAACTGTAAATATATTAAATTTTGCATATCAAGCGCCTGAAGTTGGCTTATTTAGCGTACGCTTGGACTGTCATGTGCCATGACATTTGCTTCTTTCATTTACAGACAACAAAGGCAAAATTATATTCAGTGCGTCCGGGTGTGAGGGTGCCCCTCCCGATAATTCTTGGGTTCCTTTTTCTGGTTTTGAATTAATTTCTTTTGCAGAGATGGGTTTTACACCCTCATAGATACTTTGATTGAGCATGCAAATTGTGACCTTGAATATCACTTGAAGTGCCCCTTTGACATAGAAATACGCCCTTACGTTCTGTTCCCTGTATTCTGAAGTTTGTTGTATCTATTTTATTAATTTTAAATGCCTAAAGAATTGCAGCTTGTATTGGAATTGCATGAACACTTGTCAAGAGGCTTGCAAAAAGAAGTCGTGTCCTATAATTGTAAAAAATATTCCATATTTTATAATTTGTGACATAAAGAATGATTTTATTAATTTGCTTGTGGCTTATGTGTACTATTAATGGTAGAATTATATCTAAATGATCTCATATGTATTAATATTTAATTTTAGCTTAGCGTACTGGGCTGGAGTTAACGTAGAATAATGCGTAATAAGTAACGTATTGTTTTTCTGGGCCTTGCAGTGCATTTGCCTTTTGGGGAAAATTAGTGAAGCTCAACCAGACTTTAAATTACAGTGGGAGTTCTGTATCTAAAGAAATTACTAGTAAATTTTGTGGAAGTCTGATTTTTAGGTTTGCTTCACTCCATGGTTTCTTCTTCCACCCCCAGAGGAGGGGGATGATGGGGTGAGTCAAAAACTTAATTTCTCGGACTGGCACGAGTATGTCGCGACACTCTAATGGGATTGGCTCAGGGCTGCACCCAGTTCAGCATTTAGTGTTCTAGAAAGTTTGTTATTGCTGTGATATGCTGCTATTGTGAACTTCATTGTTGCCGTGTCCATCGTACATATAATGTACTGGTAAAGTCCTGAACAGGTTTAGCTCTCGATTGCTGCGTACAGAAGCATCGTGTAATCAACTCATAAATTACGTTGTCCTAAGAGAAAATGGAATATCTGTTGTTCTTTAAAGTCGAAACCCCAAATTCATGCCGTGCTTTCTAAACAGACTTTAGTTCAGTGTATTTAGTTTACAAAGAAACAAAGCTTGCGGTATAATTGTGTTTGGTGATTGGGCCCCCCCCCAAGTAAATTTTATAATAATATGCAGATTTTTGTAAAGTTTGGTTCAAACGTAAAGCAATAGAGGCCAAATTTGTACTTTTTAATTTCCTCTTGCGAAGTGAGATTTACCGAAGTGCCACTTAATAGGGCGTCCTGAAATTTTGTTTCATAGTACACATTTTAGAAATATGCGACTTTTGTTATGGTAATTCTTGGTAGGTACACGGAATGCGCGTGGTGGCAGCAGTAAATGAATCGCTTGGACTGAGCTGTAGATCTCGCCAGGATTTTTTCTAAGTGAAAGCGGCAATCTACGTTTAAGCCATAAGTTGTTAATGGTCTTGTATTTAAGATAGAAAATAAAATTTTTAAATATACTTTTAGTTTTTGGTATATTTCCTTAATTTTTTTGTTTTGTTTTTCACAAATTTTATTTCAATTTTTGTTTCCAATAATCCGAAAGGAGGGGGGCGGATGCCTGACTTGCAGCTTCTGCCAGCGCCCAGTTACGGTGCAGTTTGAAAGCTTAGTTACTTTGTAACAGTACTAGAAATAGGAAATAGAAGATAATTTTTTACAGGCTCAGTTACGTCATCATTTTTCACACTTGATATCCACTTGTTCCACATATTCCCACTGGGTAAAGGCCTA